ATATATATATATATATATATATATATATATATATGTAGATGTGTAAAATAATCACTCACGCATACATGCATGCATACACAATGTATATAAAGTCAAAATTGTTTTAATATATCTTTACATCAGGCAGTTGTTTTTTCTTAATAAATGTATCTATAAATGTATCTATATATATGAAGGTAAATATTCAAAATTTGTATATCCATACATATATATTGTCTTATCAAAATGCGTTTTGACCTAGGGTGTATTGCAATATTCCTCAAAAACTACAGCGTGGATTAATAATATATTAAATGTTGAATTTCTCTGACGCGTACCTTTGTTTTACTAGCTGCTTTATCCGGGTTACGTACTCCGATTCTACATTATTGAAGCATGAGAGATTCCAAGTTTCGGTGCAGGATAGTATCCTTCACAGCATTAAAGACGACTTTAATATTTTCTGTGTCTACCGCAGTAGTGAAGTGATGAAACAACGGCTTTCTTGGATCCCTTTTGACCGAGACGAACATGTCAAGGATAAAATTTTGCACGTCCTTCATGGAATGTGGATCACCCGTAAATTGTGGAAAATACAAACGGACATTTGTATCTCGTGACCTCACTTTCTTATCGAGTAAATCCGTTTTGTTTAAGAACAAAATTATAGAGACACCACAAAATATCATGTTGTTCACGATTGTATCAAATATATTTTTAGATTCTTCCAACCTATTAGTCCTCCTGTAAGAATCACGTGATAAAAGCAAAATCGCAACATCATAAAATTAAATTTACGATTTTGTAGAATACAAGCAAGAAGATAACATACCTATCTTCCAACAAGACCTGGTCAAATTCCGATGACGATACAAGAAAAAGTATAGATGTCACGCAATCGAAGCATTGGTACCATTTTTGCCTTTGAGATCTTTGACCGCCAACATCGACAAAGAGGAATGGGATATTGTTAATCGGTATTACAAATTCGGAAATTCCTTTTGTCGCCTTCCTACAGTGTAAAATATCCTGATGCGTAGGTGTATATTCCAGGAAAAAAAAAAAAAAAAAAAAAAAAAATTTTCCTTGTTAACATACATACTTGATAAAAGACGTTCAAACGTAAACGTAATGTATACGCAGAGTATGATACTTGGCTCTCTACTTTTCAGTAAATAAAAATACATTAACGTGTCAAAAGTATTACCACTCTTGCAATCCTTTCAAGATTATCCAAAAAGTATTGGACAGAATCACTCTGAAAATATCAACATACACATATAAGTGAGCCGATAACGCCTAACGTAAACAATATAAAAATAAAAATAAAAAATACGTATATTTTAATATTAAAATATTTACGTATCTCGTCGCACGCATGTGTAAAAGAGGCGTGTTTATAGAGTTAATACGAGAAAATGAAATCTTACCAATTGAAATTCTCTTCGCCTGTCGAATGCTCTTCTAATCGATGCATCCTTCCATAAACTCTGCAATGCTGGCACATAATGCAGAAATAATCTAGTGTCCAGCACCATGGTGTTTTCGAACTTGAGTACGTGGAAACCGATATCGTAATTCTTAGGATTCTCCCAAGGGATATTTAGTTTATCCCGTGCATCCACTAGAACCTTCATACCCTTAATTATATTCTGGTAGATCACATGTTGGTATTCCTTAATTAATTCGGGCTGAAAAAACAAACGTGATATATTATACACATCAGATCTACGCCTCTAAAGCAACGTTATCATGAAAGAGACGACTCTAGCTTTTGTAACATACTTTGTGATGTAATACGAAGCGTTAAAACAAGTATACGGCTTAATATGCACGTAATGACATGAGCGATATCTTGATCGTGTAACTGAATGTCTAATGTAAAAACATTCATTCTGATTATAACAAGTTTCAGTTTTGGATTTCTATTACGGTTTTAACGTGATACGTTTGCGAAAAAGTTGAGAAAAACACGTTTAACGCTTCTTTCGCACGTCATAGTTACACACGCCCATCTCGTTATCCCTCCCATATATATAAAACACATTATTTCGTACACCCTGCCTATCTTCACGTGCCACGTCTCAGGTCTCAGCGAAATATACGCGAGTTTAAACTCCCTACTACGTAAATGCAGGCCAAGCGATCAGGTGTTCTGCATGAGGCGGCGTCAAGGACCGGCGTGCAACGATCGGGAGCGCGATGCTCCCGAGATAGTCGAGATAATACCTACTCCTGAAAGTGGGGTGGGAAGACGCCGCCGCGCCGCGTGAGAGGCGTCTGTCACGTGGTGGGCGCGCGTGGTCCTCAGTGCTCGGTGCTCGGTGCTCTTACCTCAAACTTGATTCCGTGAATAATCCGCATCTGCTTGAGGAATGTCGACTTGCCGCTCTCGCCCGCCCCGAGCAGCAGCAGCTTCACCTGCCGGCGGAACGTCTGCCGGTCCTTCTCCAGCATCCGGTCGATCTCCTGGCTCTTGTAACGCTGCTCGATCTCCTCCGGGCTGAATTTGAAACGCAGGCAACACGACCACGTTAAGGAGCTCGCCATCTTGCCTCTCTCATTCACTCTCACTCTCCTCCTTCGTCTCTCTCTCTCTCGCCACTTGACTTCCTTCCTTCCTGGCTGCCTGCCTTCCTTTCCGCTTTCCCGTCTCTGCCCGTCTCCCACCCGGCGCTCCTCGCGCGCGCGATGCCGTCTGCCGAGTGCCGTCTCGACCTCGACGAAAACACACAAGTACAAACGGGACACGGGACACGGGACAACCGGACGGCGGACGCGCACTGGCGAGGGCGAGGGCGAGTGGCGAGGCGACAGGCGACACCACGACACGGCCACACGGCGGTCGGCGGCTCGCGTACCTCGCACGCTCGCACGTCGTCCTCCCCCTCCCCCCGCCTGTCAACCAACCCACCCCGCAGAGTCCGCACTCTCCGCAGGCCGATCGGAAATCGTCGATTCAGAACCGCATTTCTCTGGCAGGCGTAACCGGCCGGAATCCGGAATGCGCGATATCACCGCACCACCACCAGGCACCACGCACCACTCGCAGTACTAGCACCACCACCGAGCGAATTTCTCGTGCACGGTGCACGTTCTCGCTAGGCCGATGCAGGTTTTTTTCCCCACGCGATCTCAGCCAAACTGCTTTTGTGTGTCACGATCGTCTGTGATAACCATACGTCTCGCTCGCTGCACCGCCTTAATTTTCTCTCTCTCTCTCTCTCTCTCTCTCTCTCCCTGTCGTCCCCTCTTCTTCTCGCTCCTGAAAAGTCGGCGAGTCAATCATTCGCTCCTGTACGCGCCGTGACACACCTCTTCTCCTGCTTGCCGTCCGCCAACGATCGCGATCCCTGGTGATGCACGAGACGTGTTGTACCACGGCGATCGATATGATCGAGATATTTCACGGGAATGCATAGTAAGAGCGACGGAGCAACGGCGAAACGCGTGAAAAGATACACGAGCGTGGAAACGCCACTGCTCCACTCTGCTCCACATACATACACCATTACCAGCAATCAGCATTACCTGCCTGCCACTTTGGGGAATACGTAGAAAGATTCTCCCACAGAGACTTCTACATATGTTGTTAGATTCTTAGAGTCAAAGCACATAACATGGCGTAGCGATATACGACGGTCGTAGTTCCCGACCTGACAGATCAGGATACGCCAAAGCTTGTGCGTTACTTACGTCCACGACTACGACTGTCATATGTGCTTTGGCCTTTAGCTGCTTGTGTGTAAAGCCTGCATTAGCCTGCCCTGCACGCGGGCCGCACGCCGTACGTCGAGATTGTCGAGGATCGACTGTGATCGACTGTATTCAGAATTCAGACAACGGAAGTTACGGAAGGCAGTCATGAATGGGTGCGTTCAGCCGATACTCCGCTAGCCTAGCAATCGTGAGCAGTCGCTCGTTT